GGTATCAAAAGACTGGTGTGATTTTGTATGTTTCTTCCTGGGATGCTGTATTGTTGGTCTCTGTGAATTATATTTTCGATGAAACGTCTACTTTCCTGACTATTGTTTTTGTCAAAATTTTATAGTTGATATTTAGTGGGGAAATGGGTCTGTAATTTGTGACTTTTGATTTGTCTGTGTCAGGTTTGACTATAAATGTAATATAGGCCCTGTTGAAAACTGTCGCTCAGTATTCTCTGCTGTGTAGGCCTATATCTTTTAGTGCAGAGTTTAGTAGCTGTAGTATATCATCTAGAAAAGTTTGATGAAATGTGTTGGTCCATCTGGTCGATGTGTTGTTTAGTTTTAGGATGTCGATTTTGTTCACTAAGTTGTGCATGATTAGAGCGTCTTGATTTGATGATTTCGTCTTGCTTATCGTCTTTTATTTCATTGTGATTTTAGATATTTATTATTGGTTTCGTTGTTGGTGTAGTGTTATCTTTATCACACAGCTGTTGGTATAATCAGTGAAGCATGTCTTTATTTTGTCCAATTCTGTTGCTTCTGTGCCTTCGTCGTATTTAATGCGTTTAGTTATGCGTTTAGTATAGGCGTATATTTGCTCTAATAGTATGTTGTAGTGTGATGGTTCTTCACTACCTACTGTATTTAATCTTCTTCTAATGGGCGCTTCTTTATATTTGTCTGCATGTAGTGTGGCTAGTTCTATTTCTATTTTATCTATTTTATATTGTGTTTCTTTCTTCCCTATTAAACTGCCAGCTTGTGTTTGTAAAGTGTCTGTTTTGTGTCTCCTTTCGGTGTTCAATTGTTTTGCAAAATCATGGAGTGTTAAGTAATGTCTATTATGCAAACTTGTGGGATTATTTGTGTATACACGTGGGAGGATAAGTGTTTTAAATTTGTTATGTAGGTTTTGCTTGTAAAAAGTGTGTTAGTTAATTTCCAGTATCATGGGAATGTAGGCGTGTTGTTTATGTGTGCATATACTGCCTTGTGGTCTGTAAAGCTTAATGTTTGTGTTAGGTGTTGCAGCTTGTGTGCGTGTGTGTTCTCCTGTGTGTATATGCTATCGAGCCTTGCTGAGTTATGTGGTGTGTGGCGGTGTTTTGTTTTAATGTTCCCTGTATGCGTATTTCAATTAGTTGTTGCACATAATGACGTCTAATATTTTAGTTTGTTCTTTGTCAGTAGCAAATTTTCGTAGTGTGTTGTCTATAGGCCCAGTCATCTATGTCAGTAGCAAGTTTTCGTATGAAAATGTCCATGGACAATATTTTGAAAAAGTAAAAATTATGCGTTTTATTTTTAAAATTTAGTTACCTGTAATCTCAAGGTTTTGAGGTTATAGAATTTAGATAAAAGAGGTTTATCTATTTTAACGTTATTTTGAAAAAAAAACTTAGGCCCTATGCATTTTTTATGAAAATCTATTAAAAGGGGAAATAAGTTTGTCGGTAGCCAGGTTAAGGTCCCCCACTAAGAGTATGTTTGTGTCCGTGTAGTTGGTAGTTATTGTCTGTTTTAGGTCTTTGTACAAGTTTTTTTTTTTCTTCCTGTTTTCTAGTGGTGCGTATATGTTAACACTCTGTAGTTCTGTAGTGTATTCTTTATTGTGGCGCCCGTGAATCTACCGCGTGTCTCGGTGGCAAAGTTATTAAGTTTGTATTTGTTTGCTATGCAGAGTATGCTTGTTCCTCTGAGGTGTTGTTGTCCTAAGTTGTGTGCTGCTTGTGTGATACCTAGTGTGTTACAAAAATGTTGGGCTTGATGTAATGTTTTAAAGCTTGTTACCTGCAGTGGCATAGCAGTTCAGCCGGAAGCTCGTGGACATTCAAAGCCTCTTGGCCCTTACGTATGTATGTTTTTGAGTAGGGGGAGCGGAAGTTCATTACATATATATATATATATATATATATATATATATATATATATATATATATATATACATATATATATATATATATTTATTTATGTATGCATGCATGCATGCATGCATGTCTGTCTGTCTGTCTGTCTGTCTGTCTGTCTGTCTGTCTGTCTGTCTGTCTGTCTGTCTGTCTGTATGTCCGTTCGTTCGTTCGTTCGTTCGTTCGTTCGTTCGTTCGTTCGTTCGTTCCTTCCTTCCTTCCTTCCTTCCTTCCTTCCTTCCTTCCTTCCTTCCTTCCTTCCTTCCTTCCTTCCTTCCTTCCTTCCTTCATTCCTTCCTTTCTTCCTTCCTTCCTTCCTTCCTTCCTTCATTTCATTCATTCATTCATTCATTCATTCATTCATTCATTCATTCATTCATTCATTCATTCATTCATTCATTCATTCATTCATTCATTCATTCATTCATTCATTCATTCATTCATTCATTCATTCATTCATTCATTCATTCATTCATTCATTCATTCATTCATTCATTCATTCATTCATTCATTCATTTATATATATATGTAAACTCGCTGCGTAGTTGTGCTTCGCTACCTTGTAAAAAATTTAACGTTCATTTGGAAATACAAGAGATTAGAATAATAAACATAACACAAAATATATCTGTGCATCACTCTTCAGCTTAGGAGTTTGAATGGTCTGTTGAAAATATTTTTTAAATAATCTTATATCTGTTGGTTGGATATTTTTGACCTAATTTTGTGGAAAAGGTAAAATTATGGACAGTAAGGAATTTTTCAGATACATGGTCACGTTTAAATATTCTTTTTAAATAATTTAATTTGACAGTAATATTAAAACAGTTTATAACTACTTTAAAAAAACAAGTTATATGCTACATTTCTTTTTATTACAAAAGTCAAAATTCCTTTGCACTTTAATGTCAGATTGGGGTTTTTTTGTTTTGTTTTTTAAGACATAGTATATCCTGGATGTTCACTTTTTCCCTGAGTTCACTTGGAGCGACAAACTCAGTTTGGTGAAGGAATCCTTAGATTTATTACTAAGTTTATTTACTGTGTTTTTTAAAATACGAATTGCATTAGGATTACACATGGATTACTGATAACAATATTGTTGTTCAAAATGAAGTACTATTTTTGTTTCAAAATAAGTTTACAATTAGAGCGACGTTTTATTAATTTATAAAATTTGATCGTTATTTTCTCTTAAGAATGGTTCTTATTCAGTCAGTTGCCTTAATTATTTTCTTTTCTTTTACATTACCATGTTCATTTTATTTATACATTTGTGATCCTTGGCATTACTTAAGTTATTTTAATGTATATTTTTGTATATCTTAATAACGTTATGCACAGAATTTAGCAACAGAACGATTAGATGATTTAACACCATCTGTCTAATAACTTATTCACATTGTATGTACTTAAATAGCTGTAAGAAATAACAGTAGCGAGGTATATTTAAAAATTAACCAATTATACACATAATTCAAGCACATGTTATTAAGACACGTTTATGTATAAAACAGAAATTTAAAAAAAAACAAGTAAATACATCTTAAATAGTCAACCTGAAACTCTAATTGTAATTTTGCAAATTATTTTTTTTTTATCTTTTCAATACCCAATGGAGCGTGTGCTATTTACAATATCCTTCAATGTTTTCTGTTATTTGCTTTTCTCTTGTCATCGCAGCTGACATCCTTCTAGCCCTGTAAATATCTTTGTGCTCAAATATTCTTAAACTATTCATCATTCATTTCTACTTTACAATTTTTTTTCATAAAGTATCAACTTTGTTTTCAGGTTATAAAAAGTTTGAGTCGTCATATAATTTGTCTTAAAGTATCATTAATTATAATTTGAAGTTAAAGGATTCGGTAATATCTGGATGATTCTTGTTTCACTTTAGCGTGTGATATTTTTTTCTTATTTAAAATACCATTGTTTGAATAATTTTAATTACAGTACTATATTTTTTTCCTGTTTTAAAGTACAATAATGTTCTATAAAGAATTGCTTAAACTTTTTAACTATGATATTGAAACTATGGGCTTGGAAAGCTGGTTCCAAATTGTTCCAGATTGTTGAAGCCAGAAGCACATTTTAAAATTTAAATTGAATATATTATAACATTTGTGAAATTAGTACACAATGACTTCCGTCTTTATTAAGCTAGAAATTTTCAAACAAATAATTATTGCTAGAAATATAATAGTAATTTACCTTACACTTTTATTTTTAATCTGGATTAGTAGAGTCAGTTTTTTTATAATGAAAACTATTGTTATGACTTTTATTGTTTTATTTTCCTTAGGCACTCCAGATGACACCAAGGAGGGGTTGAGGGCGGTTTTTTAAAAAAAATTTAAATTGATAAAATAATTCTAAACGGCTTTTAAACGGCTTATATTCAATATGAAAATTAGTGTACTCGAAGGTTCCCAAACGGCTTTAGATTTGAAAAATGTAACTATAATTGTATCGCTTGCTTACTTTTTAAAAAGATTTTGTTTTTAAATTTAGTACGACTGCATACACTTTATAAACCTATTGAAAATGTCCATGGACAATATTTTGAAAAAAAAAAATTACTTAGTTTTATTTTTAAAATGTAGTTACTTGGATTCTCGAGATTTTGAGGTTATAAAATTTAAGATAAAAGAAGTATACTTATTTTAACGTTATTTTTAATAAAAAAACGTAGGCCCTATGCATTTTTGATGAAAAGCTATTAAAAGGGGATGTAACTATGACTTTATTTCATTATTGCATTTTGTATGCAAGCTCCCCCCACCTACACCCGGCCAATGTAATTGTGAATTGACAATTTTAAATCTTTGTTTCAACTTCTCTCAAATATAACTTTTGCAAAGTACAAATTTTAACACTCTCTTTTTTAAAATTGATTTTACATGATTTGTTTTGAAGGGAAATCATAAGAAGAAAAGAAAAACACTTTAAAAATAAACCAAATTTTAAAAAAAATAAGTATCATCTTAAATTCACATTCATTAATACGTTTGTGTGAGTGGAAGTGGAGAGTGGATGTATGTCAAAATAACACTCAAAACATACAAGTGACTAGTTTTATTTGAA